GAGGGGATACTTGTATCTCCACTAGGAGAGTATTATTATTTCCTTATACTTTACCAAGTGCCCTAAGTGCCTTTCTTCTGGAGAAGTCATTATTTTCTCTTGAAGGCACTACTCTCTCTGTCTGTCCTCATACTCTCTAAACAAAGCTATTTTATTTCACTATTCAGCTCCTCCTGAAATTCTTTGTGAGGGAAAGAAAAGGATCCATAAAAAAACCTAGGTAGGAGTTAAAGCTAATTTTTCTTTCCTGAAGAAATGCCCCTCCCCCGAGCCTGAGTTCCACTGCTCCCAGAGAAATCGGCTGACAGGTTAATTAACTATCACACCATGCAAATCAAGTGGGACACAGGCTCAGTCTATTGTTAAGCAGAGAAGATCTCAAGCATCTACACCATACAGTGATCCTTAAAGACTGTCTGAATCCTGACTCAACCAGACACTTCCCTGGGTGAGCAAGCTGGGTATTGGGTTAAAGTAGAAAACTTCTTTCTCAAGGGTACGCCCTTCCTTCTCCCCACTTCACAGAAGTCACCCACAGAAGACTCAAACCAAGTGCTTTCAGCCCAGGCAGAGGGCAACACTTCATTGAGTTCATTTAGAAATTCCATTTGTGTAGACCTTTGTACTCATCAAGTTTCCTTATGATCTCAGTTTCCAGCAGGGACTAAGGTAAAAGGTAAAGGTCCTCCCATTGTTCATCGATTTGCTCGAACGGGCCCAGTAACGTCTCCATTGGAGACTTTGTTGTTACTGTGTTTGGCATATCAGATACATCACGGGTAGCTTGCCAGGCTCTCCGAGAGGGGCGGAGGAATCGAACTCGGGTCGGCCATGTTGGCTGCATGGAAGGCAAACGCCCTACTGCTGTGCTATCACTCTAGCCCTATTAAATGCTTTTTTATCTTTCATTTTCTATTTCCTTTTATAAATTTCAAGCCACTCCCAGAGGGAACCCGGGGTGGTTTTGAAATAATATCCTTCAGAAGCCACCCCCAACCCTCCTACTCTTTGGGTGTAAAGTTAAAAAGAGAATTAAATGTTGATTATATTTCCAAGTACTCTGGAAGTGACTTTTCAGCTCTAGAAGATCTCTGCTACTGCTTTCATAGTAAGGTAAGATTGGGGGCATGAGTGGAGAGAGATTGCTGAGATGAGTTTGTTTCAAAATATTCTATTCAAGCTAGGACGCAGGTTGCAGGTGAGCCTGCAATATTAGACTAAAGATGTGTGAATATAAACATAACAGTTTAAAATGTCTTAAGATATGTTATTTATTGTCTACTGATCTACTGGGATCATGATTACCAGTAAAGTTACCTTTGTTTTTTACTACAGCTGCATAACTTTCATGAGAAAGAGTAAAAAATAAAATGTAGGAGATATAGCACATATATGTAGATAAGAGACAAGGAAATTTTTTAAAGAAATGAGTAAGAAATCAGAGGGAAAAATAAAATCAACTTTAAGGAAAACATTTTTGCACCTTTATTATAATTGTTTTCTTTGTCAGAGAACATATTTCTTTATTCAAAAAGAGAACGGGGTTACTTAGCTTCGATTTCTCTGACCTTACTCATACCTCATAGTGTTTGTTTTGGTTTCAGTTTCTATAGTTCTGTTCCTCTAAATTAGGAGTCACTTAATTCAACAGTCCTAGATTCAGCCCTCAGTACTCTGCAGCAATTTTATTAACTCCTCTGAAATTCTTTTTTGATGTATCACAGCACTTGCTCTGATAAATCAGTGTAGGCCTTTATTTGATTTCTGTCTGTCTCCTTTTATAAGAACCTCTTTTCTTCCTCCAAACCAAGCCAAACACAAAGAAAAAATCATCCACAAGAAAAGTAATACCAAAGACAACTAGAATTTTGTGACTGAAACTTTTCTTTCTGAAATCACATACTTGCATTTATAAAGCGGTTTTTCCTGTTGCTTGAAATTTACCTTCATTATGCTTCTCTCTCTTTCTCACACTGTTCCCTTTCTCTTTCTTAAGCTATGGGTTATACTAAAGAAAATAAATAATTATTTACTTTTATTTATTTTCAGAAAGGAGCATATAATACTGAGTGGGTCAATGCTATACTCATAGCATTTTTCAAAATTGGTACAGGATATCAGTTCTGCCTTTCTTCAAAGTGAAACTGAGGATTAGGGTGGTGTTTTAATTAATTTTTCACTGATTTTTATTAAGAAAAGGTAGCACTGGTAACACTGTCCTCCCATTGTTCATCGATTTGCTCAAGCAGGCACTAGTAACATCTCATAATTGGGAGACTTGTTACTATTGGCTTTAGCATATTGAATATGACACAGGGATCTTGCCAGGCTTTGCTGTGCAGGTGAGATACTTTCAGTAGCTTGCCGGGCTCTCCAAGAGGATTGGAGGAATGGAACTCTGAACTCCGGTCGGCCACATGCAAGCCTTACCCACAGTGCTATTGCTCCAGCCCATTAAGAAAAGGTATGGAATTTTAATAGTTAGGAAGAACGTATCTTAGAGCACAGTCATAAGCTATTATGAGAAATGATGTATTAGAGGCTAAACACGTGCATCTGTAAAGATATGTTGGAAACTTGACTTTCCTGACATTATAGATATTTCCAGAACACCATTAGAGGACGATGTATAAAATACCTGTATTAATATACATATGCAAATATAGGGCTGGAGTGATAGCACAGCGGTAGGGCATTTGCCTTGTAAGCGGCCAACATGGCCGACCCTAGTTCGATTCCTCCACGCCTCTTGGAGAGCCTGGCAAGCTACCGAGAGTATCTTGCCTGCATGGCAAAGCCTGGCAAGCTCCCCGTGACGTATTTGATATGCCAAACACAGTAACAATTGTCACAAATGGAGACGTTACTGGGCCCGCTCGAGCAAATCGATAAACAATGGAGGACAGTGATGCAAATATAAACTCTAATATCATCCTTTCAGGGCTCTGAAAACTATGGGAACTTAGTACATTTTTCTATTAGTGATGTCATCCGAGTGCACAAGAGCTTGTAAACTCCTCATAGCACTGTAGCACTGTCCTGCCGCTGTTCATCGATTTGCTCAAGCAGGCACCAGTAACGTCTCCATTGTGAGACTTGTTGCTACTGTTTTTGGCATATTGAACATGCCACGGGGAGCTTGCCATGCTCTGCTGTGCAGGAGGGATACTCTTGGTAGCTTGCCAGGCTCTCCAAGAGGGACGGAGGAATCGAACCCGGGTTGGCCATGTGTAAAGCAAACGCCCTAACCACTGTGCTATCACTCCAGCCCTCCTTATAACAGAAAATAAGTGTGAATTGCGTATCTTCTATAGTTATATAAAACTGCTATAGAGAATCGATAATCTAAATATTATTGTGACCAAACTGTAAACAATTCAGATAGCCAGAACTCTACAAATACAAGATGCCAATATTATATTTGAAGTGGAGGAGATGTGAGAAGTCTTGGCATTGGTATTTAAAATCATGTGAAATCTCCTCTCTGCAGACTGATCACTTCCTGGCCCCTATATTCTGGTACTCTATTGTTTGTATTGAACTTCCTATTATCTGTTCCCCAGCAGTCTCTGCTTTTCTTATCTGTCTCCTGGAATATCTCCAGGGCATTGCTAATGAGAAAATTAGTGGGAAGAAGGGAGGTTCAGCAATGGGTCCCTCATTGTATGGGTTCAGCAATGGGTCCCTACTGTAAAAAGTAGATTTACAGTGAGGTATTAAGGAAATCCAGACCTATTTATTGTAAGATTTCAGTGTAAGAAAAGGCCAAGGAGATGGTAGAGTTTTAGCTTACATAGTAAATAATCACATCCAAGACTGAAGAGAGTTAATCTTGATAATAAAATGAGGCAAAAAAAAAAAACCAAGCATTTCTTTAATCTAAACTATCTAGAAACATTTTATCAATACTTTTCAGCTTAATGGAATTGATGCCCATAAGTTAGAACATGGAAGCTAAAGTATTATTGCTAACAATTTTAATGAAGCATATTCACTTACTTCCCCATTCATAAGATTATTGCGCATTAGGCTTTTAATTGAAGAAGTCACATGAATATCTATTAAAATATTTTAAAATATGATTTTAACAAATTAAGATGACTTGTTAATGTGTTTATATTAGATAATGGGCTTATGGTATAATACACATTGGAAATTAGAGCACAAAAATTAAGAAAAGGAAGTTGATGAAAGGTGAGAATAAGAAGTATAATATTACAGAGTAGACATAAAGATTCCATCCAGGAATTCAGGGATATAAAAGCTAAGAAACATAATTAAGTAATGAATGGGGAAGTCAGATTCATACTAAGAACAGATTCTATTTAAGCTGCTATTTAAATGTAATTTTAAATTTTCTAGACCTACATCAAATATTTAAGAGTCAATGGAAGGAGGTTGTAGCATACCTATGAAATGCACAGCATTTATTTTACAAATCCTCTTGGGTGCCATTTTTTTTTTAGAAACATAGGCAAATCTGAAAAATAGTATGTTCCCAGCTTCAGGAAGCAAAAGGGCCTCCTTTGCTTGAAGACTGGAAATTTCTCTTCCTTCCTTTCTCTTCACCTACAGAATAGATCACACTGTGAACATGGACCCAGATGGTTTTATGTCAGAACCCCTTTGCCTCATTGAAAACAGTAATGGGCAACTGGTGGTCAATCCAGAAGCACAGAGAACCCTGTGTGGCATTACACAGCCTGTTGATGTTGTGGCTATTGTGGGTCTCTATCGCACTGGCAAATCTTACCTGATGAACAAGTTGGCACAGAAGAAGAAGGGTGAGTGACACAAGCAAAGTCATGGCAAATCTTCTCTGTGTACACCCATACAACAAACACTGAGTATGGTGGTGTGAGGAGGGAAGAACGGCGCAGACTGGAAATATTATTAGTATGAGTATTTTTATACTCTCTGACATCTCCTCATCTTGCTTTCCTAAAATTCTAGTTCAATTGTCAAGAACATCTCACTTTCCAGATTTTATCCTCTCTTACCGTCTATTCACTTCCCTCTGCAGGTTTCTCAGTTGGATCCACAGTGCAGTCTCACACAAAGGGAATCTGGATGTGGTGTATGCCTCATCCTGAGAAACCAAACCACACCTTAGTGCTTCTTGATACAGAAGGACTGGGAGACGTAGAGAAGGTAAAAGACAGAGTTTCCTCTTTGGTTACTCACCTTTACGCATTCTGTGCAGGAAGATTGTTTATTTTTATTCACTTAATCGTAATGTAACTTTTTTTCTTCTCTTTCCCTCTTTTCTTCTCTCTCTCTTTCTCTTTTTCTTTATTTCTGTTTCTTTCTCTATTTTTTCTTTTCCTTTCTATGTTTAAAATCTAAATAGAGAAAAAGATACTGATAAACCAAAATCATAACTGGGATTAAACTCTTAATATCTTTAAATTTTCACATATTTAATAACGGGGCTGGAGCGATAGCACAGCGAATAGGGCGTTTGACTTGCACGCAGCCAACATGGCTGACCCGAGTTCGATTCCTCCGCCCCTCTCGGAGAGCCCAGCAAGCTACCGAGAGTATTCGATATGCCAGACACAGTAACAACAAAGTCTCCAATGGAGACGTTACTGGGCCCGCTCGAGCAAATCGATGATCAACGGGAGGGCCTTTACTTACTTACTTTAACTTTACTAATAATGTGAAAATTGTACTGTTAATAGAAATGCACAGGTGTGATGTAAATAAAATTGTAATCATTCTGTCTACAGAGACAATTGATTAATAATTGGCTCTGGATGAGAGAAACATGAATTCAAATCAGGACTCTGGTAGATGTGCCTATAAGACTTTGACAAACAAGAATAAGTTTCCCCAGTCTTTCCCAAATGTTGGTCTTATTCATCTCATTTCAGCAGTAAATCCAAGGGATTTTCCTACTTCTATACTAGTAAATATTTAACAATAAGATTAACATGGGTGGTGGGGAAGACTTACTTGATTTGTAGCTCTTGCAAGTGTTCCAACATCTTGCATGATAATTGATGGCTACTGAAGTTACAAGACTTAGAGTTCAGATGAGAGATGTACAATCAGTTCACTGACTGTACGCAGAGGTCCACTGGGACCTTCTTTTGGAGTTAAGCTGACTTCTTTTGGGGTTGTTTTAGAGCCACACCTGGCTGTGTTCATGGCTTACTCTAGGCTTTATATTTAGAGATCAATCCTCACAGGTCTTAAAGGACCATATGTGGTGCCCAGGCTCAACTCCAGCTTGGAAGTGTTCATGCAAGAGCTTTACTGGCTGAACTATCTCTCCAGCCCAGTATAATCTGACTTTTGCATACACCTCAATCTTTCTCGTTAATTTTCCTTTTCATGTTCTCATTTTCCATTTGATTTGTCACAAATCCAAAATGACCAACTTCAGTTTGTGTTTGAGTTTCCTTATCTCTAATACAAACCTATCTGACAGCACTAGATGGAGGATTCCATCAATAATGTGAGCTGCCCTATAAAATCTTATATTTATCATGTATATCATTCAACTTTGTTTTACAGAATTGGATATCTTTATTTTCAGTATGCCCCTTATCCCATTAACTTTCACAACCTGCTTTTTAAATACCTAACTAGTGATAATAGAGATCATGAGTTAAGAATATGTATCCAGGGGCCAGAACAGGCACTTACCTTGCATGCTGCCAAAGAGGGTTTGATCCCCAATACCACATAAGGTCCCCCAGTCCTTCCAGCAGTAGCTCCTGTGTGCAGAACCAGCAGTACGACCCAAGCACTGCAAAACATGCCCCAAATACAAAACAAAGCAAAAAGGAAGGAATGTGAGCCCATAATAAGATTATCAATGCTAATCATAGAATAATCAAAGTACATATGATTTCACAATAAAATTTTTGTCTTATTTATTTTTTCAGTTGATGGAGCTTGTTTTTAATGATTGATTGTTTTTAATGAAATGCCATAATACTTGACATTTGTTCTGACCATACATTTGTTTTGACTTTTAGGGTGATGAAAAGAATGATACCCAGATCTTCACACTAGCAATGCTACTGAGTAGCACCTTGGTATACAATACCATGAGCAAAATTGACCAGCGAGCCCTTGATCTATTGTAGTATCCTTTTGTTGTCCAGGATGGCATCAAAAGTCAGAGGGCCCTTTTACTCTTCCACCTGTGTTTAATCCTTACGAATCAAATATAAAATGGTAGTTTGATTAAAATGTTGATAGTTCAAGAATAAAAAGTTCACATATTTACTGATGAGTTGAAATATTGATTATGAAGTAAAGTAAATATAAAATATAAAACCAGTTGGAGGCATAGAATTAAATAAGAGCTTATATTCAGTCCTATTCTGACTAGCTTTCCTTAGTTGCCTCTCAGCTATGTGACAGAAGTGTCAAATCTGCTCAGAACAATCTCCTCACCTGAACTTGATGAGGTTGAAGATGCAACTGATATTGTGGGCAACTGTCCAGACCTGGTGTGGACTCTGAGAGATTTCTTCCTAGACTTGGAACAAGATGGACATTCTATTACAGCAGATGAATATCTGGAGAGCTCTTTGAGGCCAAAACAAGGTAACTGGGGTATTAGAAAAAGGGTGCGAGGAATAATACAAGAAAGTATGTCTAGCGTGTTTGTTGTAAAACCTACAAAATTCAATATTCAATTATTTTATTCCCCTGTTTTGGAAGAAAATTAACAGTTTCTTTTTTTTTTTCATTGACTCCATTTTCTTTTGAATTTCTGCTTAGGGTTCATCAGGATGTTTTAATTAGTTAGTAATTTAGTAATTTACTGATGGAAAAAATTCAAAAAACAATAATCCCATACTAAATATGTCCTAAAAATATTTTTCTTCACCAGGCACTGATCAAAGTCTTCAGAATTTCAATCTTCCCCGTCTTTGTATACAGAAATTTTTTCCAAAGAGGAAATGCTTTATTTTTGACTCTCCAGCTCACAGGAAAAAGCTTGCCCAACTTGAAGAACTGGATAATGATGAACTAGATCCTGAATTTGTACAACAGGTAGAAGATTTCTGTTCCTACATCTTCAGTCATTCCAAGACTAAAACTCTTTCAGCAGGCATCCAGGTCAATGGTCCTGGTGAGTATTTGTGAGGGGATTTTTCTTTAGTTCAGCATAAATAAAAAGGGACATTGCATTGTATCAACTCCCACTGTCAACGATTAAAATGCATAATTAGTTGCAAAAAATAAAATCATACTATATTTTTATGTTCTGCATTATATATAGCAATATGTATATTGTATTTATTAAATTCAGTGAGCCTAGAAACATTTCTTGCACTTTTTTGGAAATGTTTTAAAGTACTGAGGCTGGAGTGATAGAACAGTGGGTAGGGAGTTTGCCTTGTGCACAACTGGACCAGTGGGGCCGGGTTTGAATCCTCCGCCCCTCTCAGAGAGCCCGGCAAGCTACCGAGAGTATCTTGCCCACATGGAAAAGCCTGGCAAGCTACCCGTGATGTATTCAATATGCCAAACACAGTAACAACAAGTCTCACGATGGAGATGTTACTGGGCCTGCTCGAGGAAATCTATGAACAATGGGAGGATCGTGATACATATATTTTTATGTTCTGCATTATATATAGCAAGATGTATATTGTATTTATTAAATTCAGTGAGCCTAGAAACATTTCTTGTGCTTTTTTTTTTTTGGAATGCTTTAAAGTACTGAGGCTGGAGCGATAGAACAGTGGGTAGGGCGTTTGCCTTGCACATGACCGACCCCAGTTTGATTCCCAGCATCCCATATGGTCCCCTGAGCACCACCAGGAGTGATTCCTGAGTGCAGAGCCAGGAGTAACATCTGTGCATCGCCGGGTGTGACCCAAAAAGAAAAAAAATGTTTTAAAGTACTATGAAACAAAAATATAACCTGAAGGAAAGATTAAATTAAAGAAGTTCTACTCCTAAGTGGTCTACAGTTGAAGCACACTGATTCACATAGGTTGGTAGCATTTGTTCCATCATTAGAGTGAATTCTTATGTTTCACTTTGATAGATGCAAAATGAGGAAAATATCAGTACTTTGTAGAAATAGAAATTACCTGATATAATTCAACAAACAGAAGCACATGTTGTCTAAAACACTGAAAGAAATCTAAGTGAGCTCATTGTTCCAATTTTTGCTTAAAACTCTGTATCTCAAAAACGCGGTAAAAATATTGCTAAGTGGGAAGCGAGTGCAAACAAAAGAATGTGAAGGGCAAAGAAGATAAATGAGGAAGTTCCAAAAGAGAATTAAGGTGATGTAGTCTAATTTTTTAACTTTGTGCTTTCTCAGATTAGGATAATATTCATACCATATTTACAGTTTAAGGTAGAAGAAAAAATGGAATTTTGAATGGAATTGAAACCTCAGGCAGGAAAGAAAAAGGTAAAACAAAGAAACAAAGACTTCTAGCACTACATGAATATAAATAGCTTTATATAAACATTTATTTTTCTACAAAAAACAATTAAATGTTGTGATTATACATCTTGAGTTTTCCTTTTTTAATTACTTTCTTTTTCTCAAAGAAAGAAATAGCTGATGTCTTTGGCACACAATTTCCAAAAAGAACTTATGTGGCCCGTTGAACATTGTGTGGAATGCTGAAGAATTTCAGGCAATGCATGATTAACAGTCTCAGTTTAGGACTTATCCTATTTCTCTATTAATAATACACTTATCTCCACTCTGTGAAGATCTAGAGAACCTGGTGCTCACCTATATCAGAGCCATCAGCAGTAGGAATCTGCCCTGCACGGAGAACACATTCTCAGCCTTGGCTCAGATCAAAAACTCAGAAGCATTGCAAATGGCCATTGGCTACTATACCCAGAAGATGGACCAGAAGGTGAAGTTGCCCACAGAAACCAGCCAAGAGCTGCTGGACCTGCATAGAGCCTGTGAGAAAGAGGCCTTTGAAATCTTCTTGAAAAATTCTTTGAAAGATGAGGATCAAACTTTCCAAAAGAAATTAGAGGTGATCACTTCTATTATTTGGATAGCAGGGTGGGTTACATCTAGTTACAGTTCTTATTCCTGCCTCTGTGCTAAGGATAACTACTGACAGTCCTTGGGGACCATATGTGGTGCTGAAACTGAGTCCAGGTCAGCTAAATGTAAGGTAAGTGCCTTACCTGCTATACTATCTCTCAGGCCCCTCTATTATTAATTTTTTACTATTAATAATAATATTTTGCCTTATTTCATGTGACTAAGAGACAATAAAAGGAAAATTATTGCTCTGAAAAGTCAATTTAAGGCTTAAGGAAGAGAAGCAATTCTTACTAGACTGAATAATAATAATAATTATTATTAAGGTACAACTGTTATTCTGAAAATAAGTAAATACGTACTGACTATAGGTCTCTCAGTTTCTGAAACTTTAAAATACACACATCTCAACATGTTACACACTAGTGCTAATTTTTTAAAGAAATGTCATCCCTTAAAAAATTTATTCAAGTTGGGGAGTAGAATCCTAAGGAAAACAGAAAGGAAAAGAAAAATACAGGTTGATCTGATCTCACTAATATCTCGGATAAAAAGAAATAAGGCAAGAAAAAAGACAAAACCAACCCTTCATTTCACACTACAAAACTGAAGTTACAAGATAGAGGACATGACTGGCACAAATTTGGAGAGGGTCCAGTGGATATGTGTGGAGAGATTTCAGCATTTTGGTGCTAGGTCTGATGTGGCAATTTACTTTTAAAGAGGTGAGAAAAAGCATTCTTGAAACATAAACATATAATAATGTTAAGCAATGTTATGTCAATACTTTTTTAAAATTTATAATGTATGCTGTTTCCTTTTTTTGATACTAAAACACAGAATTGTCATATAGATATAGTAAAATATTATGTTCTCATATCATTTATATCACTATAACAGTTAATAGCAATGATTCCATGATCCCTAACTAGCTGAAGAGGAAATATTACACCCCTTCTTTCAGTATAATTGAAACTGGAATAACTGCAAAAATTTAGATCTTATTTAGAAGTAAGGAATAACAAGGTTAAGGGACTGGCTTTGATATTAAGCATCTCTCTCTCACACACACACAAATAAATTTAGAGCATGAGGTGAGAAATCTGTAGTCTGAAGAACACAACTACATCAGAAATATCAAGGGAAAGGGATTTCAGAACATCTCAATCTCAATTTTTCAGGCAGGTAGAAAGAATCCCCTAAAGGGCACAATACTGCTAATGTTTTAGTGCCTTCCCCCAAAATAACAGTCTCATTCTTTCGTGTGTGTGTGTGTGTGTGTATGTGTGTTGCCAAAAATCAAAGCCATGTTGCTGCATGCACTTTGCCACTGAGCCTTACCAAGCCCTAAATTTCTTTTTAAGAATAATTTCTAGAAATGTGGATGTATTCATAACCATTTTTTCATATATCTTTGTCTCTGCAGATGCAGCTACAAGCAAAGCTTGATGACTTTTGTAAGCAGAATTTGAAGGCATCATCCGATCGCTGCTCAGATCTACTTCTGAGTATCTTTAGTCCGCTAGAAAATAGTGTGAAGCAAGGGATTTATAATAAGTTGGGGGGGCATCACCTCTTCAGACAAAAGACTGAAGAGTTGAAGGCAAAATACTATCAGGAGCCCAGGAAAGGAATACAGGTATCCCTAGTTTTATGGAGAAATTGCTGAAATTTGTGGTGAAAGTATGTTCAATTTAAAAAAATAAGGAATTATTTAAACACTAATGATAATTATGGAATTAAAAGAAAATATTTACATATTTAGCATATTTTAATTGTAGCTATCAATATTTACTGTGACAGGGGTATTTTCTTTACCATATTAACATAATCCCAATAATTAAAATTAATTTAAGAAAAAATAAGCTGTTGGGATTCTTCCCAACATTGAGCATATACCTCAAATGTTTGATGTCCTGAGTTCAGTCACTGTTCCTTATGGCCCCTTAACACCACAGGGTACCTATATAAAAAGAAATAATGTTAATTTTATGGGTTACATAAACCAAAGGTGAAATATTTCAAGTATCTCCATCAACTTTTTGACTACTTTACTTACAAATACACTTCAGTTCTCTGATCTGTTTTTTCACTCTGCACTTTATTCTCAGATAGACTCTTCCTACACGGGAACAAAGCTCCAAACTCAATGAATCCTTTGTGCCCTTAGTGTCAGAAAGAGGAAGAGTCAGAAGGAAAATGAGGGAGAAAGACCGTCTTTCCTGTATCCTTCCCCAATGGTCTTTAAAATAACTAAGTTATAGTTTCCCATCTGTACCAAGATTTTTTGCATATAATAGTACAAAGTGTTCTGATTGCTCAGCCCAGATCTTATGCTCACTCCATGCTAGAAGCTTGATTGACAGTTCTACCAAGTGCAAACTGAACACTTGTTGACAAAGATGCTGGGAAGACAAAAAAAAGCATGTTTATAATATTTTTGAATAACCATTTCCTGCTTCTAACTGCTTTCTTTCTGGGGTTTTAGGCTGAGGAAGCTCTGCAGAAATATTTACAGTCCCAGCAGTTGATGAGTGCTGCCATTCTCCAGGCGGAGAAGGCTCTCGCAGACAGGCAAAAGCAGATAGAAGGTAAGAAACAAATGGAAGACATAAAATAACAGAAATCCCTACACATTTTAGGTTAATTTGAATTGATTCATTGAGATATTAAACTAGAACATGAATGACTGAAAAAATTTTTTTCTTTAAATTAAGCTTATGAGGTACCACAGTTTCCAATCATATTAAAGGTGTTATCTTATAGTTTCAGAGCACTACCCAATTCCTCCACCAGTGCTTCAGGAGGCCTCCACCACTTTCCCATTTTCTTACTCTGCCCAACACCACCTCAGTTCCTAGTTCTATTTTCATATCTCAGATACTGTTGCCACTGGAAATTGTCTGATCTCTTTCTCTGTTTCTTTCTATCAACATATGATTAAAATAATCCAATTATTTATCTTTTACCTTCTGACTCACTTCACTGAGCACAAGACCCTTCAATTTCATCAAAATTGTAGCAAACTTCAAAATTTTATCCATTCTCAAAGCTAAATAGTATTCTATTGTGTGCATACATACACAATTTGTTTGTCCATTTGTCTTTTGCTGGGCACTTTGCTTTTTCCCCAGGAAAACATAGGTATGCATGTCTATTTCCACATTAATATTTTTATGTTCCTGGGGTAGATTTCCAGAAGTGGAATCAGGAAGTCATATGGACCTTTCATTTGCAGTGTTTTTAGAAGTCTCTAAACAGTCCTCCAGAGATATTAAACCATACAACAGCCACCCTGACATGAATGAGAATTCCTTTTTTGTCATATCCCAACACACTTACTGTTGATCTTTGTGAGATAGATCACTCTCACTAGTGTGAGGCAATACTTCACTGTACTTTTGATTTGCTTTTCCCTGATACCAGTGATGATAAACACTTTTTCAAGATCTGTTGCTCAAACAGATAATTAGTTAGGTCCTCTCTGAATAGGCTTCCCACCCCAGCTATATCTGTTTACCTAGAAAGGAAAAAAACAGTCTCCAGGACTTTTCTCTAGGGAGTAGTAACAACTAGAAATAAGAGTATACCAACAAGGGGAGACACTTTTATCCTAGAGAGGCTTATCATTTTGCTCTTTCGCAGAGGAACGTGCTAGAGCACAGGCTGCACAGGCTGAAGTAAACCGGCTGGCAGCAATTCAGCGGGAGCAACAGAAACAAATTGAGGAGAACGCGCGAGCCCACCAGGAACAGCTGCGACAAATGGAGATGAGGAAAGCTTTAGAGCTAGAAGAGCAACGGAAAGCCCAAGAACAAGTCCATGCACGCATGCTCCAGGTATTCAGTTATCTCATTTCAAAATTTGGATGATATCTCCTCTCTCTGAATGGATGAGAGCATAAAGTAGGGACAAGGGTGGAAAGTCAACACACAATTAATTGTGGCACAGAGCAAAAAAGTTGGTATCAGATAGTCTGGATATGAAGCCCAGGTATGAATTCTATTTCCATCTCTTACTTAATACATCTGTGCAAGCTATTGAATCCACTGTGTCTTCATTTCCGCTTTGGAAAATGGAATCAGTAATATTATGTTTCATAAAGGATATCTCAGTAATTGATTCATTGTATTTACAATGATGCATGGCATAGAAAAAGCACTGTAATTTGATAACTACAAGACAAATACCATTTCTAATACATTGTATTAGTCTTTAAAAAAAGTTTAATTGCTCCTAAGTGTCTTTCTTTGGTGATAGAAGTTAAATAACCATAGGCCATAGATTATCTTGTTAAAATGTTAAAATGTTAAACTCATTTTGTATTATTGGACTGATGACCTTCTCTCTGCCATAATTGTTTCTGTGCCTGCAAGACTATTGTAGAATTTACTTTATTTTGTCTTTTAATGCACTTCATCTTCTAATCTGATAACTGTGAAGCAAAAATATAAGATCCCCATTTTTTCTAATTAGACCAGTTTGGTTCCAAAGACATCACTAAATACCACTATCATGGAGCATTTCAAGTTATCCCCTTCACAATGGGTGGTAGCTGAAATGTTTTAGCTTCTGCAAATCTTTGATGAAATTCATAGTGGGCACCCTTATGAGACACATGGCTCTCCCAGTCTATCTGTAGGTCATACTTTTCCAGACACTGCTTCAAGACATATTTGAAAGGATAAACACTAAAGAGTCAATCTGGGATTCTACATATCACTTTTTCTTCTGCTACTTTCTTCTGTCCTCTGTCTCCTAAGTGTGGGTTCAATAATTTCATTCATGTAAGACTCCTTGCATGATTATGATGTCACCTCCACCAGCAGTTGTAGGAGCCTCTCCTCATAGAACTAGACCTGACATCCCTTGGTGAATAAATGAGGATCAAAGTGAAGTATGTGAGTCAGACTGTCCCAAGGGTAAAGGAAAGGAGACTCAGGATGTAAATCTTTTTTTTTTAATTAATTAATTAATTTATTTATTTTTTATTTCTTTATTGAATCACCGTGGGAAAGGTTACAAAGCTTTCAGGTTTAGGTCTCAGTCATGCAAATATCAAACACATTTCCCTTTACCAAAACTTATTTTTTACCATGAAGAACCCCAATAAAACCCCACCCCCCACCCCTCCCAGTCCCTGTGGGGCAGATGAATTCTAGTTAACACTCTATCTGCTTTGATTAGATTCATTGTTTCAATAAAAGATTCACCACTATTATTTAGAGTTTACCCCCCCCCCAAATCAGACATGCTGAAAAAGCATTGTGAAGTGATTTGCTTTCTACAGCTGGGTTCAAGAATTAAATGTTGGTTTTGGATTTCTGCTATTTTACTTATTGACCCTGGAAGTATTTCTACTGAAAGTCAGATAGTTAAGAAATTGGTTTCTGTGCACTGGAGACGTGGCCGTGCTGGAGAGCCACTAGTGGGGGGCAACTGGTGGCCTCGGTAGGGCGTGAAGGGCGGACCGAAACGCCCCCCTTCCCATGAGGTTTTAGTCGCCCCCACTCCCCCGGCTCATACCTGCTGTCCACAAGGCTCCCATGCGGCCGCCATCTTTCTTTCCAGAGAGGAGAAGGCGACTGGGGCAACACCCTTTCCCCTCCGGACAGACCTGATGGCCTGGATTAACGCATAGTCCATTCACTTTTCTGCTCCAAGCTGCCGGGTTCTGCATTAAGTTCTTGTGCTTCTGGGGCCGTGGCCGTGCTGGAGAGCCGCTTGCGGGGGGCAACTGGTGACCTCGGTAGGGCGTGAAGGACGGACCGGAACGCACCCCTTCCCATGAGGTTTTAGTCGCCCCACAACAGGATGTAAATCTTAACGCACCAATATTTGGGGGATTAAGAAATGATTATGTTTCTGCAACTAGAAAAAGAGATGAAAGAAAAAGCATGTATGTAGTAAATCAAAAGTTTGTGGAACAAATTGTACATAAAGAGAAAGCTAAAGTCCAGGAACTGTTTCTTTCTTACTGATGAATTAAAATGAGACTTCAACATACATCCCACTTAACCATAATCTAGGCATTACTTTATGCTAAACTCTATCGTTTTGTTTCTCACTCTTTAGGAAGCAGCTGAACTGGAAAAGAGGAGAATTGAAGAGGAAAGAACAAGACTTCTAAATCAGATCCATCAGCTCCAGAGTAATGTTTCCTCCTCTAGGGATCGTTGCATCTTGCAGTAAGGAGCTACACATCTTTTGGTTCTTGTTCACTAAGTACACAAGTGTCTGGAAGAATCATCAAGAAATAAACTGCATAAAAATTATATTGAGTTTTTATTGAGGCATAATGTTATACGCCATAATTACCCAAAAAAGTACATTTCTATACGTCAATCATTCAAATGATGCTCTCATACTTAAGGAGATTAAGAATTGTATAATAAAGATTATTTTATTCTTACCTCCATTTGGTAGTGCTATTGGACTATAGACATGAAGGAAACCTTTCTCTTACACCCTATTGTCACCCCTGTAAGCTTCTATATTTGTATTGGGGGTTGGGCAACAATGGAAGTGAGTGATATAGGGGGTTTTATCTGCCATAGTTTAAGTCAGGCAGAGCTTGAACCAAGTGCTGGCGTCACGTAGGCATTATATCTGCCATGAGAGTGTGTGCTGGTTTCCAATGAAGGAGGGCACCAAGGGTAAAAACAGCTAATTAGCTTCAGTGGAGATAATATGTTTCTTTTCTGGGTGGAGGCTGATCTGCCTTTGGTCAGTGAGGTCATTGTAACTTTGTACAGAGATTGCCAATATATTAAGAGTCTGATTAGAGAACTAAATAATGTTTAGTTAAGTAGAGGTGCCCCAGAAGATGACACTTTTCATCTAAAATGAAATTTAGATGTTAGACTGAAAAATGAAATCAGTTTTCTTTTTTGTTACTTTGCTAATATGATAACTATCTGAAGCAATTTATATTGGATTTAATAACTGTGCTCTGTCTTTAGA